ACCCCTGATTGGCCAAGAAACGTCCATTTTTATCGACAACAATGGCACTTCACAGACGCACTCGCGCTCCAAACCGATGAATTCGGCGCCACGTGTTTGATACTTAAACCCCGAGGCTTGATAGTGATTTGTACGATGATAATCACCGCACGTATTGCGAGGCCAATAGGGCGCAAATGTCAGCCACGGGATGACGATCAACTCGTTAAAGGGAAGTAAATTTGAGTAATGAGGAAAGTGCGTATCAATAATCACAAAACCGATGTTTACGAATATTGAGCATCATGATTCATAAGGGATATCTTGGAGACCGATTCTCGAACGTCCCACTTGCAAACACATGTCCTATCCTCATTATATGGGAAGGGTCGTGGCCGAGGAGGTTCGAGATGTTATCGTCCAGATGGTGCGGCTTTCTCTGTCCACATGGCCGGAATATTTACACCAACAGATCACAAAACAAAATGATCACGTCCTATTTTCATTGTGGGAAGAAGGAAAAAGGGAGGGGGAAAAGGGGAGTGAAAATAGTAAAGTGTCCTTGGACTCATATGACATCAACAAAACTTCACGGTAGTTTCTATGGAAGAAAGGATAACCTTTGGGATAAAATTTTCGTGAGAGGGGGACGCTAACTTTACCGAAGGTTAAGGGTTAAGAGAAATATATGTCCTTGATCAATCGGTACGTGGCGAGGCTTTGGCCTGCTTAGAAAGCGAGTAGGGAGCGGGTCAGGTATATCGATCAAAGACGGGGATAACTATTTCGACAAGATCAAAGAAAAGAAACGAATTCATATCTCTACACAACCACCTAGTCAGTCATCAATGCACGAGACAAACACTCATTTCATACATCAATCCGATTTTCATCATCGCACATTGACATCCCTCGCCCATCGAAATCGCATTCATCAACAAAGTAACCACGTATTTCATTCATACATCCATAGTACAAGATTAAAAATAGAAATGAGATCTTCGCTTATGGCCATGCACTTAGCTTCCAAAAAGTAAACCGCAGAAGAGAAGACCCAATAATAACAAGGCACAAGGCCTTCTGCTCTCACGCCATGGTCCCGGGTCAGGCAACCATTCATCCATACACACACTTCTTGTCCTCATGCACTAGCGACCCCAATTGCCACGTACCCTGCATTAATCCTTCGAAGCTCGTGATTTCACTAACTCAACCATCACGCCGACTCGCCCAGATCCCGCAGTCTTTCGCGACTATCCGACGCGCAGCCTCGTATGATCACAGTCAGATTATCAAGATTTTTCGACCTGCTGATTACCACTTCACCTACCTGTAGCCATTACTATTGCGCAACTCACTGATGGAGTTCGAAAAAGCTTTTTGGATGCGCTTGCGGGTTTATAGTTGCGGGGAAGAGAGTAGAAGAAAGGGGCGAGGGGAGGGAGGGGAGAGGGGCAGAAGTGAGGGGGAAGGGAAAAAAAAGAAATTGCCTCAGGAAAACCATATCGATCCGCATGAGTTACTTCACAACCAATCTTGTTGCATCATGAAGGGATCAATGTTTCCTTACACGTTACCATATGTCTCGAGGGCTCAGGGAGGGGGTCGATAGAATTTCCATGTATGAAGACGAAGGCAGGAATGGAGAGATAAAAAAGTAGTGCGGAGCAGGACCAAGATTCGAATGGAACGAGAAAGGGAGAAAGAGCTCAAAGGAAGAAGGTAAAGGTATTCCGAGACACATCGGGAAATGATGGGAGCTTGCATGCATGGCACTGCCGCAAAAACGAAAAGACACCCAAACAGTTATGCAGTATCCGAGTGACTAGACGTAAAGTAATTTTAGTGTAGAACCTCATGGTTGCATCATGCAGGAGTTTTAGAAGCGTTTCAGCCAAAGACCGACGTGACCGTGCGCGCCAGCTATACCTCTTGCGACTCCCTACGACAAGATAGAGATCCCGCGAGGTACAACTCACCTCCACCTGCGGAAGCTGTTACCATCTCTTAGGTGGGCGTATCCCTGCTGAGCTATTGACCCACGTGCGAAGACTTTTACATGCAATCGCAGAGGTAAGTCAACCGAGGGCGTTTGCTTGATCGTTGTAGCATAGGCATATGCGTGGTTGAACGCGTAAGACTGACCTGTATACATTTCGGGCATCGGGGCGCTGATCTCCCAGACCGACTTATAATTCAGGTCGACTCGACCAACGAACGTTCACGCATATTATGCTTTGACGATAAATAGTTTCTATATGAGTGACTAATAACCTATCCCTTTTTCCGTAGCACGATCCCCTCAATGCTTGAATTCTCGAAGGGTTGTGCATAAGACATATACCCTTTCCTGCCTAGTGATTAAGTCCATTCAGCATATCTCTTTATGAAAACCATTTGTCATATCACAAATTCATATGAAATGAAATAAGACTGAATAATTAGGCAAGGGGATGTTACATACACTTAACACATTCACAAAAGCAGTCCGAATTCATTAGGAAAAACATAGGTTATTAACCTTTCAAACGTATATATATGAAATGAACATTAAATGAACAAGGTTTTCGCCTTAACAATAATCCTGATCTGCTTAACAATTAGAGAAAAACGCAAGGTTTGATACTCAAACCAAATGTATAAAATCACGCGTTGACGAAGTGACTGGATCAAGGTCCAAGATATCGTAAGTTTCTCAAATAGGTTGCAGTGAATAACATGTGGCTGGTCATTTTACTTACCTGCAGACCGAATCAATCACATTACACAATCCTAACAGAGTCCACCTTTTATTCACTTTCACCCACATTACACTCACGCTTCCAAACCTCTCAGCCATACGTCTCATTTTTGACTTAGTCATTCAACCTCATCTTACTTTAGTAATTCAAGGACTTTTTTTAATCAAACATAGACCCTTTAGATAATGACCCGAAAATCAAAAATGTCTTTCAGTGCAAGGTTCGATGCAAAGTGTGAGTGTTGTTGGTGAGTGAGGGTTGAGTTGGCGAACCAACCTATTACCATAAGGTAATATCATGTAATCTTGTATAGACTCATAATGAGTGTTCTTGATCGAGTTTACCTGCAATCACACAGGTCGATAAAGTCTCAACACTCCTACCTATTGATACGACCCTATATGAAGTCCAATATATTGAACTTCAATTTAGTTGAGAATGATATTACATTGACATAACATCCTCTAGTAGTTTTTTTAACTTCTTATCAGACCAATCTAGAAATAGTCGTCTAAAAGAAGAAAAGTACAGAGTTCACATCGTCAAAACTTTCCCCTTCAGACATACACAGACAAAATTTCGTCAATCTCATATGGAGTAGGATCATAAGATTCACTTCATTCAATAGGTTAAGGTAGCAGGACAGGTCACACAGAGTCGCATTCCTTCTACCTCCACCTTAGTAGAATCAGAGAGCGAACCATATCAGTAAGTTAGTTTTTTGCGGGTTTCATAAGAGTTTTCATAGTAAAGTAGATCACACGGGATCCTCACCCTCGTCCTTGTTTTCTTTACTTCACAGGCAATGAAGTGATAAGGCGGACTGCACGGGGTCTCGCTTCTCTTATCACCGTGAGATGCCACTTGGTAATAGGGTTGATCTCACAGGATCTACTCCTCCTAGTACCATCCCCCTTTGCAAGGATTTGTCGACGATAGGGCAGGTCTCACAAAACCTTGCTCCTCCTATCACCATCCTTTGGTGTTGGTTGGTAATAGGGCAGACCTCACGGGGTCTCGCTCCTTCTATTACCACCTTGCTTACTTAAAGCAGATTCCGGTAATAAGGCGGGTCTCTCGGGACCTTACTCCTCTTATCACCCCTGCTAGTTTACTTCTTTAGAAGAACCTCTTTGTCTTAGGTCAATCGAAAGCCTTAGAGTCAGACGAGCACGCCACACGGGACCACATCCCAATGACTCAATGAAACACCTAATGAGGAAGTTCACACGAGAACTCTCACCTCATTACGTATTTCTCAGTAGACCTTCAACTAACTTTTGACCCGAGTCAGTCTAACTTAGAGAAGGTGAGCGTTAGTCAAAGTGTTTCGACAAGGATACATACACACATACTGGGTTAGCTAATCAATAATCCCAAGCATACATAACCATATGTAAATCAATAACTTCTGCAATAATCCTAACCCTCATCAATGTTAGAAGATCCTATCAAGCAGGACAAGACTTCACAGAGTCCACATTCTCGCTACCTCATCTACCCAAACATAAGCACACACACGGTGACTCGGAGACAACCCATACGAGAGCTTTTCGTTCTCACCATGTGTTTTCAGAAACAGTTAGTTATACACAATTCATATTAACGAACCCTCAAACAGTGAGACCAACAAACACGGGACTTGCATTACATCATGCATTTGCACTAAAAGAAAGATAAACTCATTCCAACCATTGCTTATACGTGCATAGCATTTTCCCTAGCTTAGGTTTAATCAAGAAGAAATATTCATATATTCAGGCACACATGCATGCATAGTAATATGGAGTAGTATGTTCAACCTGATATAAGGCGATGGGGACAACCTTGCTCATCCTAACACTAGTCAGCTCGATCGGGACTTGGTCAAAGCTCCTGCACCGACACTTTATTTATCTCACTTTCTTCCCTCTCCCGTGACCAAGGCCATCGCCAAAGTGTAAGCAGGCCACATAATACAACACAGTCTACCGCATCCACTCACTCGATTAGCAGCACACAACACTCGCTCTCTCGATTGGTTGCACACAACATTTGGCTCACTCGATTGGTTATGCGCAATATCTGCTCACTTGATTGGCTGCAGACAACATTGACTCACCCACTCACTCTCTACTTGCCTACCACGTTTTCACCTCCTTGTACTCGCGCCCTACAGTCCGGCTATCGCCGCTAACGCACATGCAGGTGCTTGCGGAACATTGCAACAGCGAGTCCGCATGGCCTGCCTAGGCCACAAGTGTTTGCCGAACTCTCACTGTCTTACGACAGTTATTTGACGACGATGATGCATTTTCATTCGCCCGTGGCTGCTGAGCGCTGTGCCGTCCTCACATTGTGTGTATGTGTGTGCCCAGGGCGCAACCATCTGCGTCATGAGCTCAACTATGCATCGTAGTTATTGCTTCTGGAGGGAATCAGCAAAGGCTCACGCTGCTTTGTACCCAACTGGCGTGCATCAACTGTCTGAAACCCACATTGGAAAATGTTGAGACATACTCCTCTTGTGGATACTCAGGCCCGCCTTCACTTAGGGCGGACAAAGACTTGCTGGACCCCCAAGTTACTGTAGTGCTAGTAATGTTTTTTAAATAATAATAACAGTAATAATAATAATGATGATGATAATAATAATAATAATAAGAATAAGAATAAGAATAAGAATAACAATAATATTAACAATTGAAAGGAAATGAAATGTCAGATTCCAGATGGTAAAATCATATTGAAAGCAAAAAGGTCCAACACTGTCCGAAAGGCAGAATTGCACCAATACCATACCAACAGAGAGCCAGCACTCGATCCGATTGTCAATGAGAGCATGTTCTCATCACCACCAACATAAGCGTTCATACTTCTTCCCCTCACTGAAATGTGCCAAATAAAATAACAGTACAAAAGGAAATAAACTAAATAGCCGTGGAACAAAGAAAACTGCAGAATCAGTGCAAATTTATCAGTTTTGTGCAGACCCTGAAAACAATAGGTTCTCTCAGTCTGTACATATTTGGAGATTAGTAGGGGACATCTTTTGACACCCACAACGAATTGTTGTTGTTAGCAACAAAGAATCATTGTCGGGACCAACAGTGGCCCGTCGCTGAGAACAAACGTGATTCGTTGTCGATGTTAGCAGTGGGCCATGTCTGCGGACAGCGAGAGGTTGTTGCCGAAGACAACTATGGGCTGCGATCCAGACCAGCAGTAGGTTGTTGTTTAGAACAGCAGTAGATTGCTACATAATATGATATGTTTGCGTCACTTCTCATGCCAGATCATCTCCCTTTCCTTCCATTTCTTGTCTACCCTTTTCCTTCTCCCTCGAGCTCACATTCCTCCTCTATGTTCTTCCCTCTCTGATACTACTTGGACTTGGACGTGGCGTCTACACCAGGTGAGTCAAGTCCTCCTCTTCCCCTTCCTCTTATCTTCTTCACAGTCATTTCCACCCTTGTTGCTTCTCTTCTTCCTTACCTCATTACCCGCTCCCCCTTCTTTCTTCTTCTTCTTCTTTTTTTTTTTCTTTTCTCTGTGTTTCCTCCTTTCCTCCAAAATGATACGGTCCAATGAACTTCTCACAGCGCCTTCCAGCGGCAAACTGCTGAGATCACCGCAATCCAGGCACTTCAATCGGTAGGAACAACAGGTGGTGTGTACAAAGGGCAGGGATGTAATCACTATGACCCGACAACTCATCGACATGGAATATGAGTGGGAACGATATACAGAAAGCCAAGTTGCGAAATCACAGATGTCCAAGTACTCGTGTACAAGCAGAGAGCACAAGTGTACCAAGATCCCATCGAATAAGAGCAATACAAGAAACTTGTGAGCCTATGTTCAAGCCCTCAGGGCACACCAACACAGTACTCAATGCTGCTCTTCTCTGCCTGACGCCCAGGCTGCACTACTCACTTATCCTACTACAGCCACATCCACGCAACAGACTTACTTAGACTTCGCAGACCCATGTACATGACGTCAACAACATAGCCGACCTTCTTTCATGCATCAGGTGTGTATCTTGTCTCCTCTTGTCTCCTCTTTCTCTTTATCTCTCGTTCCCTGTCTCTCTCTTTCTGTGTATGTCTCTCTCTCTCTCTCTCTCTCTCTCTCTCTCTCTCTCTCTCTCTCTCTCTCTCTCTCTGTGTCACTGTGTACATGTCACTATGTACCTGTGTCACTTGTCTGTGTCACTGTGACTGTGTGTTTCGTTGTGTCTGTGTGTATTCCACAGTATCTGTGTACGTCACAGCATGTGTGTGCGTGCCACCATGACTGTATATCTGTGTGTGTGTTACTATGTGTGTGTCTCTGTGCACTGTGTCACTGTGTATCTATGTGCCACTGTGCACTTTGTGCATGTTACTGTGTGTGTGTGTCCTCGTGACTTTGTATCTATGTGTGTGTTACTGTGTGTCACTGTGTGTTTCACTTGTCTGTGTATGTTTGTTGTGTGTGCATGCCACTGTGACTGTGTCACAGTCTCTGTGTATGTGCCATGGTCATTCGTCTGCCTCTGTTTGTTTGTTTGTTTGTTTGTTTGTCTGTCTGTCTTTCTGTCTGCCTTTCTCTCTCTCTCTCTCTCTCTCTCTCTCTCTCTCTCTCTCTCTCTCTCTCTCTCTCTCTCTCTCTCTCTCTCTCTCTCTCCATCTATCACTCACACACACACACGCGCAAGGAGAACTATCGTAGAGATACTTGAGAAACGGAAATAGTGTATCCGTTGTGTTCCGTGTTGCTTGCTATAGCGGTAAAACTGTCTCATTGAAGGATTGGCTCATCTTATGTGTGCTTCCTTGCCTGAAGTAAAGGTAAAGCTCCTTTGATTTTGGATCTACTCATCTGAGTGGAACAGGGGCTGTTATGGTGTAGATCTAACACACACACACACACACACACACACACACACACACACAAGAGTAGTAGTGTATATTTCAAGGTTTTTGCAACAGATTCGTTTGATTTTGCTCATCCGATCGTTGGAAGTACCATGGAACCAACTACAATCAAAGACTTTCCTTCACAATGCACAGCGTACCGAGACCACAGCATGGGATACGACAAGCATGGGCATGCATTTCAACAAGTCTAGCGGATGATGACCCAACATCACGTCGCTATCGGCGGATGCATCACACATCCTCAAGTCTTCACCCTCGCATAAGGTAACCAGCGGATGTCCGACCAAGGCCGTCTGTAACAGATTGCCAATTGGCGTTCAAACGACATTCATAGCAAAGAGGATGAGCGACGGTGAACRCCTCGATCCACAAGCCAGCACCACGACATTGAAAAGCCCGGATAACTACGACCGCTACCAGCGACAAGCTAGCTGTCGTGAAAGCCCTCCAAGAGAGATGACTAGAGGCCCGAACGACGCTGCAAAAATGCTCGTTCGACCACTAGAAAACGACTCGCCCTTCCCTCGCAAATTGGAAACCACCCAAAGCATGTGCAGATAGTCCCTCGTAACTCAAGTACAAGGTCCTAAAACCCACGCTTGGAACGTCGCCATCATCGACGGCAAGGCGAGATATATCCCCCTTCCTTTTCCTTTCATTGTTTTCTTCTTCTTCCTTCTCCACCTCTTCTCCTTCTTCTTCTTCCTCCAGCTCCTGCTTGTTCTCAGTTGATATAGAGTCTTTGCCCCGGCGTTTCCTCTTCATCCCTACTTCCTCCACTCTTCTTCTCCTCTTCAGCATGCTCTCTTCTCTCATTCTATTCTCATCCTTCTCCTTGTCTCTCTCTCTCTCTCTCTCTCTCTCTCTCACACACACACACACACACACACACGCACACACACACACACACACGCACGCACGCACA